ACCGACTGAACCACCCAGGGGCCCCATTGTGCCTTAAGGTTTAAAAGGAACCTCATCTTGGCAGCAGCTGGCCCCTCAACGTCCTGAAAGCCTCGCTTCCACATTCCTCGGAGACTTGCGCCATCCCTCCCCCCACTAATTAAAAAGTACAGAATCAGTCACTGCTCACAATCCCCTTATAACTCTTTCTGCACACAGGTCCTGTCCTGTGAATAGGGAAGTGGTTAAGGTCTGTGCAGGAGAGATAGGAGGCCCCTGACCCCCTGACTGGGCTCCAAAACTATTCCTGGCAGGTGGAGACACTGAGACAGAGCTGAACAAGAGATAAGGAGGGAACAAACCAAGATGGCTCAAGAATCTCAAGGCCACAAGCTTCCTGGTCAAGTTTTCAGTAAAAGACTGCCACTAAAAGCCCTCAGTGGCAACCCATTCGGGACCCCTCTCACTCTAGAGAACTTTCTTTCCTGCTCTCACCTTCACTTAATACACTTTCACTTCACTTCAGCCTTTTGTGTCAGTGAAATTCATTCTTCAACTCCATGAGACAAGAACCCTGCAATCCTGCAACAATAGTACCTGGCTTTTACTCACGACTTTGGCCAGAGGAGCACCCTTTTTTGTTGTTGTTTTTTTGCCCATTGCTCTCACACAAACCCCATATGTAATTGTCGATCAGACTCTCAGCACTCTCATTTGGAAATGAGAGGAATGGAAGACACACACACACATGTGCATGCACGTTTCACGGTGACCCTGAAATTCCTTAGTGTGGACATGGTGAAGGCCTCCTCTCTGCGCCCCCAAGAAGTGGGGAAGTCCATGAACAGGTCTGACTTTGTACTCTAAAAAGACTGGTCTGTTGGGTTGATGTCCATGGCCCCTGGTTCCATCTTCTAAGAATGTCTTCTTGTCTGTTACACTCTTGGGCCTCATGGGAAGTTGATGTTGGAAAGCATGTCCTTCTTGGAGGCCCACCAGCCTTTGTATCCCGGTTTCTCAAAATTCATATACATATGTTATATGCAGACATAAGTTAGTAAATAGTAAGAGTATAATTGTGGCCCTAATCAAGATATTAAATGGCAGTGAAGATAAAGTGGTCATTTCCATTCTTAACGTCTCAGAAGTCTGTGGCTTCTGTAACGGGCATTTCCTGTTTCTGCCTATCCTGCATCCCTTCTGTTGTTTTGGTAGTAGTAACAAAAGAGCTGAAGCTGAGTCATCATGAGCCTGTCAAAGAGACTGTAGTCCTGCTACATTAGTATCTACCAAAGACTTGATGTCATTTCTGGTCTGGGGTTTTTCTTCAAATCTATGAGGTACTCAAAAATATCTCCAGAGAATTTATTTCTTCTTAAGTTAACCAGTTTATTTCTGTTACATATAACCAAAGAATCATAATTGATACAGTTGAATTTCGTTTTGGATTCTAATCCTTGAATTATGTCCTATTTGAGGGATTCTAAGATTTAGAAGAGACACTTTAGAAGTTCTCAGAGAAAATTACTTATATTTCAGAGCAAGGGCTCTTCACCTGGAGGCTTTGGGTGGACTTTAGGTGACCTGTGAGCCTCCTGCAATTATATATATCTTCTTTTTGTGAAAAAAAAAAAAAGTTTTAATCAGATTACTAAAGGAGTCTGTAACCCATAAAATTCTCACAATCACTGCTCTAGAAATTTACTTTCGATTTTTAATTAGCATAAAGAATAGTCAAATATTTTCTTCTACTGAAAATTATTCTTTTTCTTTGAAGAATGCCTTAATGCCTATAATACTGATAAGGGAACAGAAGGCAAGCTTAGGACAAAGCAGAAGCTGACATCCCACCCCCCCCACCCCCCCATCCCAGCCACGGGATATATGTCACGTTCCTCAGGCGGCCCTAAAGCTAAGGAAAGGAAAAACAAAGAGTTGATTTACAGAGATCACAATCCTGCAAGACATGAGTCTCTGTCAGTTTACAAATATCTCAGCAATTTACAAAAACAAAGCATTTCTGTCAATAACCTAGCTTCCAGAAGGAAATGTACATACAATTAAATGTCCTTATAACCTGCAGCCCATTGACAGATACTTGAAGTGGGTAAAGTGTAATGTTCCTCCAGGAAGCTCCCAACTATACTATCCTAATGTTAATACCTTGCTAGAGGGAAAACCAACCAGAACTTGACGAGGGTAAGGCATCTGGTATCTTGTAGGTCCTCTTTAGCATATGAAAGTTCTTTTAAAACCTCCCTTTAAAAAAAGAAAGAAAGAAAGAAAGAAAGAAAGAAAGAAAGAAAGAAAGAAAGAAAGAAAGAAAGAAAACAAGTAAGAAAGAAAGAAAGAAAGAAAGACCTCCCTTTTCCTTACCTCCCCCAACTCCCAAGTATATAATCAGCCACCCCTCACAACCCAGGCGCAGCAGCTCTTTCTGCCCATGGGTCTTGTCCCCGTGCTTTAATAAACTACCTTTTTGCACCAGAGACATCTCAAGAATTCCTTCCTGGTCGTTGGCTCTGGACCTCACCCCACCAAACCTCACATGTATTCCAAAACCCCATCATTACTTGTAGAAATTTACTTGGAAATAAAGCTATTCAATATTAGAATGTATCTGCAAAAGATATCATGAAACTTATTTCCCTGGAGGTTCTTAAATACAATGTAAATTGGTTTAAATTTGTCCTTAAAAAGATTGAGTTGGACATCTGGTGAATTCTATGTTTTTAAGATTCTATCTTTTGGGAAAAAAAAATAGAGTGGCATCTAAATACAAAATCCTGTATGGTGTCAGAACTTTGGGCCAGCAGTTATTAAGAAGGACATAAGAGCAAAGAGATCCAACTGGAAGGTGTTCAATTGAGAAGGAAAGGTGGAGATACTTTTCTCAGTTCTACTTATGGGGAACAAAGGCAGAAGGAAGTGTAGATAAAATTAAATGTCCTTATAACCTGCCGCCCATTGACAAATCCTTGAGGCAGGCAGAGTATAACATTCCTCCAGGAAACTCCCAACTGTCTTCCTGTTAATGCTTTGCTAGAGGGAAAAACAACCTTAGCTGGACAGTAGCTAGGCCTCCAGGATCCTGGGAGTCTCCTTTAGCATATGAAAGTCCTTTTAGAAACTTCCCTTTGTCTTTACCTCCCCCAGCTGCAAAGTCTATAACCAGCCACTCCTCACAACCCCGGCACAGCAGCTCTTTCTGCCCAGGAGTCCTATCCCTGTGCTTTAATAAAACCACCTTTTTGGCCCCAAAGCCTCTCAAGAATTCTTTCTTGGCTGTCAGCTCTGAACCCCAACATTTTCTACATCAGAACTAGCATGTGGGAGGTAGAGGACCGAGGTAGGTGCGGATTCATTGGCAGGCGCTGGGACACTCATCCAAATGTTGCACTTGGAAATGTCAACATGATTTCTTCCCCCAGCAAACAGATCTCTTTATTTTCACAAAAGTATTAAACAGATTCCAAAACAATGGCAAGGAAAATAAGGGGGTTTCAATCAGGGAGAGAAGCAGAGTGTTGTTTCAAGTACACAGTTTGCAGGCTCCCGGGATGGTGTAAATCCAGCGGGGTAATTAACTGAAAGGTGTTTCATCTGCAGGCAGCTCTCCGTAGAACTCGGCGTCTGTGTGCACTGCCGTCCTGTTCCACTAGTTAGAACATGAAGAAGACGACATGTGATTTACACTGCCAAGAGAATTTGGAAGATCAGTGTACTTATTCAAATTGGAATGTAGCCCAGATTCTATTTTTGTCAAAGGAAAAAAAAAGGAAAAGAAAAGGAGTTTAAGCATTTTAATAAAGCACAAGAACATCATCAGTTAATTGGGGATATGGCACACATTTTCCAGGCTCCGAAATCTCTCTTTAGTTCTGTATAAAGGGTCAAGTGTTGCTCTTGATATACCAGTATCTTCTTTACTGAAATAAGTAGCTGCTTATCTATTGCCTTTTTTTATTATGTTATGTTAATCACCATACATTACATCATTAGTTTTTGATGTAGTGTTCCAGGATTCATTGTTTGTGCATAACACCCAGTGCTCCATGCAGAACGTGCCCTCTTTATTACCCATCACCAGGCTAACTCATCCCCCCACCCCCCTCCCCTCTAGACCCTCAGTTTGTTTTTCAGAGTCCATCGTCTCTCATGGTTCATCTCCCCCTCCGATTCCCCCCCTTCGTTCTTCCCCTCCTGCTATCTTCTTCTTTTTAACATATAATGTATTACTTGCTTCAGAGGTACAGATCTGTGATTCAACAGTCTTGCACAATTCCCAGCGCTCACCATAGCACATACCCTCCCCAATGTCTATCACCCAGCCACCCCATCCCCCCCACCCCCCACCAAATATCTGTGTGATAGAGTCTGACATCTGATCTTATCCTTGCTCCTCTCCACAAAGCACAACTGTAGGGTCTAGAAATGATGCCCCAGACAACCAAAGGGGGACCCTGGCAACCGATGAGAAGGTGAGCTGGTTTGGGACTTTACTACTGGAAGAACAGTGCGGAAGCAGGCACATTTCTGCCCCCCACACAACAGAGGAAGACTGCCCAGAGCCATTGTTTTCTGATCACCAAATTAGCAGAAGAGGGCAGTCACGTAGGCGCACTTGTTAGGAGTGAGTTGGACAGGTGGGTAGTCAGGGCCGGGGTCCCCAACAAGAAGATACGGACTCAGGACAGCTGAGAGAAAACAGCACTGACATCCGGTTTTGCAGCTTAGACAGGAGCGCACTAGCATTCTGCTTTGCAGCCTTTGCAGAAGTCACTTCTGCAAAATGTCCTAAAATAAGACAATGACCACAAGGCATTTGTGCCCAGACCACGGGCAAGGGGCAGTAAAGACATAAACCGCCAGATGTCAGCAAAAAAAAGACCATCAGCATGGAGGCATTAACCTAATAGGTAGGCAGATACGTGACCAGAGCCCTGATTGGCACAACTCGGCACACCCTGATTGCTTAAGATAGTTCCCCGAAAGAGCTCATAAAGGGAAGTTGATGCCAATCGCCGGATCGCGTGCTGCTCGCTAGGGGTGTCGTCTTAGAGATCGGGACTGGCTGGGATTGCAAAAAATCAACATGCCTTTGGCTAGAGATTTACTACACCCGTCCTTGGAAGAGGAAAAGAAAAAAACATAAAAAGAAACGGCAAGTTCAGAGCCCAAATTCCTATTTTATGGACGTAAAATGTCCAGGTTGCTACAAGATTACCACGGTTTTCAGCCGTGCTCAGACGGTGGTTCTTTGTGTAGGCTGTTCAACAGTGTTGTGCCAGCCAACAGGAGGAAAGGCCAGACTCACAGAGGGGTGTTCGTTTAGAAGAAGGCAACACTAATGATCCACACAGCCTCTCGAATTTGTGTTATATCGCAGAAAGCCTTATCAGTTCAGTAATTCCAGTTATCTACCAAGATAATGTAATTATGTTTAATTTTGTAAGGTTTACAACAGTGATGTCCTATTTTGGTGTCAGTTTTTCAATAAAGTTTTGATTATGGGCAAAAAAAAAAAGCTCATAAAAATCCTTAAACTTAGAAACTCCGGGGGCAACTCTCTCAGGTCCCCTCACTCTCCAGGAGCTTTGTACTCTTGCTCAATAAACTTTGCTTTGCTGCCCACCACTGTTTGTCTGGTCCACTTCTTCATTCTTCAAAGCTGTGTGACCAGGAACTGGGGGCCCTAAAGGCAGAGAATTCCTGCAACACATTTTTCTCCCTGGTAGAACAGGAGTCTCTCTCACAACCACAGCAGCTGGCAAGGATAATCAGCTGAGAGCCCCACTACAAATAAACAGCTGGAGGAAACATCGTCCTTCCCAGCTGGGCCTGTGACTCCCCTGTTTCACTTAGATACCGGGCATTTAGTAGAGCTGGAAGGAGGGACCCAGCTACAGCTGGTACCTGGTCAAGGAAGCATCTTTGTCCGCATGTGCCCAAGATTCTCTAGGTCACAAGCCCTAGAGCAGCTAAAACAATAGTAACAGGGGAGAAATTGCTACCACCAGTATTAAGGCAAACTGCCTAGCTATTGTGATCAAAACAATGAAATACGGTCAACATCATAGAAAATAGATCAGTGGAACAGAGTAGAGAACCCACACAAAAAAAGAGATCCACACAAATATACGCAGCTGATTTTTGACCAAGATGCAAACAACGCACAACCACGTCAGTGGAGGAAAGAGCTTTGCAACAAATGGCTCCAGAGCAAATGGACATCCATAAGCAAAAGACAAAAAAGAGAAGAAAAATATAAAAGAACCTCCACCTAAACCTGTTACCTAAGACAAAATTTAACTCAAAATGGACCGTGAATTTAACTTGGGAACATCAAACTATAAAACTTTTAGAAAAAACATGGGATAAAAATCTTTGGGATTTTTGGCAAAAAATTTTACTTGCCCTTGACATCCAAATCAACCTCATGAAAGGAAAATTAGCTAAATTGGGCTTCATCAAAATTAAAAACTTGCTCTGCAGAACATCGTATAAAGAGAATAAAGGGTTGAAATATCCACTGGGAGAAAATATCTGCAAACCACATATCTGACAAAGAACCAGTATCTAAAATATATAAATAACTCAAAATTCAGCAGTAAGCAAATGATGCAATTAGAGAATGGGCAACTAACATTGAAGAGACATCACCGAAGAGGAAAGAGAGATGGTAAATAAGCACAATGTGTCTGACATCATTAGTAATAAGGGAAATGTAAATTAAAACCACAATGAAATATTATTATATACCTACCAGACAGCTAAAAAAAATTGACAACAGCTGATTGAGGATAAGAAGAAACTAGATTATTCATATATCACTGGTAGTAATATAAAACAGTACTGTCAGTGTGGTGAATTTGGCAGTTGCTCAAAAAAACTAAACACGCAACTATCATATGATAGTTGAACTCTTGGATGTTTACCTCAGAAAATGAAAACTTTGTTCTACCAAAAACTTCTACACGAATGTCCATAGAGGCTTTATTCTCAATAGCTAAAAATTGGAATTAGCCCAATGCACTTGAACAGTTGAATGATTAAGCAAACAGTGACAGACATGTACCATGGAATTGTACTCAGCAATATAAAGGAATGAACTATTGATACACATAACAGCTTGGAGAAATCTCTAGGAAATTATATTCAGTGAAAAAAGCCAATCCCAAAAGGTTACATCAGGTATGATTCCATTTAGAAATGACAAAATTTTAGAAATGGAGGACAAATTCATGGTTGCCAAGATTTGGAGAGGGGAGCCTGGTTGTGTTATAAATAGGCATCCCAAGGTGCCCCTGTGGTGTTGCAAGTGCTCGGCATCTTGACTGTGGTAGTAGGTACACAAACCTACACAGGTGATAAAACTGTATAGAACCAAACACACATGCACACAAAGGAGTACAAATAAAACTACGGAAATCTGAATAAGATTGGTGGATTGTATCAATGTCAATATCCTCAATGTGACATTATACTGCAGCAGAAGGCTATGTGCTTGAGGATTTGGGGTTTGGGGTTTGCTTAGAATTGTCCTGACCAGCTATGTTTTTCTTGCTCTGTTCCTGTGTAGGAACAGGGTTGACAAGAACTAGGTTGATTGATGCTGGTCGTGTCAGCTGCTCTCATGAGCAGTGAGTGGTGCAATGCCCAAGCTAGAGCTCAGTACCCAGGACAGAGGCCATGATACATGATGACGTGATAAAAACCCTTCTGAAATGGGGTTATCTCCTTACATGCTCAGAAGAAGCATTACTTGCTGCTTGGATTTTTAATCCACATACCTGTGTTCCAAATCCCAAGGATTTGAAACACAAACTGAGTTATTTGAAATCAGTATATTATTCCAGCTTTCAAAGAGAAAGTAAAACTATTTCATCAGTGTTTCTTCCCAAGTGATTTTTCCCATCTGTTGTACTTTAATTTGGCTGGAATTTTGTGTGTTGAAGCACACAGTGGAGACAAGTCAATTATGAGGTAACTTGATGCTTCATTTAAAGAGCTGTCGAAGTGTGAAATGATTCTCAAGCCTCACATACAAGGCTGAGTGATGGAACACCAAGAATAATTCCTAATCTGTGAGGACCGAAAACCAGGCAGGCCAAGGGGAAGAAAGTTTGATGTTGCAAATTGATTTCCTTCAGTTTCCAGCAAAATTAAAGTTCATTATGTAATTTTTGTTGTGAATAAAGCAAGGAATAAAAGCTACATCTTTATAAATCTGCAAGGATTCCATGTCCTTCCCTTAGCTCTCCCATAGCCAGGGGGTGGGATATGCATTTGTTTATATTTCAAGGAAAAGGAGCCCTGTTTGCTCCATGTTCTTTGAGTACTTCATACATAGACCTCACTCTACCACAGAATGTTGTCATTGGGTAAATAATCTAAGTCTAGTTTAGTGTTATTTTGCTTTTCTTTAACCCTCTTAAATTTACCTGTAAGGGCCCTCAGTTTCTGGTGTGGCAGCAGACAGAGGTTTGCTATCATTTCCAGGAGCTCCCTAGCTTCATTCATTCATTTTACTGTCAATGAATCTATTTTTCAACCCCATTTATCAGTGTCCCCAGAAGGCAGGTGAGTGGAAATCAGGAATTCAGGATTTCCACATTATTCTTACGACCATGCCCCTTCTCTCAAAAAATGAAAACAAAAAGCAACATAAGACAGAAGCAATAATTAATAAATGGTAGGTATTTATACCTTATGTGAAAAACATATATATATTCCATTTATCATTTAAAATTTCAGTAAATAAATAAATAAATAAAATTCCAGTACAAATATGGTATGGGCAAAACGGGTGAAGATGGTCACAAAAGATTAAACAATTTTATGGTGTTCAAAATGAAAAGAACTGCTTTACCTAGAAGTCCAAAGCTAGAGAAGCATCCCTACCAGGCAGTAAAGAGAGTGTGGCAATAGAACCAGTATTAGACCCAGGAATTGATAGTTGGGTCATAGAAACTTTTATTCAAATTTATTCAAATATACATATTTATATAAGTTATTCGGGACAGTGCTGTCATATGGGATAGAGGAAAACCTATTCCAAAAGCTCAGTAGACCTTATAGGTTTATTTTCATTTTTTTTTAACAAATTTATTACATGTTCATTTTTAAATAAATTTGAACATAGAAATGTAAAAAAAAAAAAATATTAGTAACCATAGCTGCAATGTGCAGTTTATCTACTATATCTGACAGTTAATTATTTCATTTAATCATCACAACCATCTTGTGATGTAATCATTATTCTGGATATTTAGGTTAAAAAGAAAACTGAAGCTAAGGAGTAAGGAAAGAGTTATGTTGTCCAAAGTCTTATGGCTAACAAGTTATGGAGGCAGAATGTGATCCTTTGCATTGTGTCTCAGGGTCTTAGAACAAATAACTAGTATTCTATGTAAGCCCAGACAAAATCACTATTAATAGTGTCATTCTGGATCATTCCTGATCTTTTTTACAAAAATGAGGTCATAACTTATAAAATATCCAGCAACTTGCTTTTTCTCATGCAGCAATCATAGAAAACCTTGAACATCATTATGCAGAATTTCCTTAATACACCCAAACCTTGCTTAACAACTTTAATTAATACCTGAAACCATGCCACTTAAGTAGAAAGTCATTAAATTGAAAAGAAATATTTATATCAATTTTAATGAGAAAAATTATGATTCCTTTCAACCCAACCTAAGGTGCCAAAATGATTTTCACAGGGAAAAATAGATTCATTGACAGTAAAATCAAGTTTACATAAGCAATAAGAAACAATTTGAGGGAAAACAAAATCTGTTTTTCAAAAATATAGTAATGTCATGAAGGTTCTTTGTACTCACTGAGGAGAAGACGTGGACCAGTGGTGTGAGGGAGGTGTTTTAAGGAAGACTGGGGAAGGTAGGTAATCGGCTTTCAGCCAGGCTTACATTATTTACATTCCAATTTGTTTAGATTTGACTTTGTTTATGGTGCTCCTTTGTATAACATTTTATTTTTTTATTTTATTTATTTTTTTTAAAATTTTTTTAAAGATTTTATTTATTTATTTGACAGAAAGATAGAGTACAAGTAGGCAGAGAGTCAGGCGGAGGGAGAGGGAGAAACAGGCTCTCCGCTGAGCAGGGAGCCCGACGCGGGGCTCGATCCCAGGACGCTGGGATCATGACCCGAGCCAAAGGCAGCCGCCTAAATGACTGAGCCACCCAGGCGCCCCTTTGTATAACATTTTAACATAGTATAAACATTTTGACATATTTTGTAAATAAATTTATATTTTTCTTGTTGTTGTTAGGACAGTCGAACTCCTTATCTTGCTTATATAGGTTTCGTCCACCATTAGTTTATCACATAACAGTAGCCAGTATTTTTTCTGCCATGATTATAATATGTAATTTATATTAGATCTATCTAAAAATATTTCTATTAAAGTATGTGCGATAGACCTCATTAATGCCCCCCAGTGTCTGATTCTCCTCTCCTGCCTAGACTCTCCAGCCTCCAGGTAGATATAGGAGGCTC